TCCCGCACATGTGCATACCTGATGCAGGTCTCTTCAGATCCCAGATACATGAAACCAGTGACATGTGCAGAAATCCCCATTGGTGTGGCACATCTGCACAGTGGCGGGATATTTTAAGTTGGCAGCACGGAATAGGAGCGTCAGGAGGAAAATATCGTCAGGGAGAAATTCCTCTTTAACTGTAAGGACTGGATGGACAGAAATACAAATCCTTTGGTAAGGGGAACAACTGCTGAATATACAGTATATTTAATCTATGCATTTTGCTGTTTCTCTGGAGTTTAGCTTTAAAATCAGGTTTGCGGTGACAGTGCCGGGTGTTAACACATTGAAAAGTATGAGGCACTGGCTGATGGATTGTGGACAGTGTACATGGGTAATCTAGGTTTCTCACTTACACATGGTAAGGGGCCCCAGGATTTGTGCCTGAGAAAAATGTTTTCTTTTCTCAGCTCTTAATAAGTTCTGTTCTCGATCCTGGACCCCGGAAGCTTTGTAGAGCTTTGGCTGGGATAAAGCCTCCATTCCGAGTTCCACATCTTACCCGGTAGCTAGACCTTATTATTCATCTCAGCTGTACACAGGCCTTTATATAACTTAGCTGAGGTTTGTGGTTCTCTTGCTGCTGTGTGAGAGCCTACTATTGGGCTGGAAGCCTGAGGTTGTGGGCAAAGGATGTCAATGGTTTCTCGTCATGCCACAAGATCAACCGATTCTGGACTGAGCTAATATCGTATACAAACTAGCACCTAGTCAACTACACGCCTCTAACTCCTGAATGGGCATTGCTTGGTATAATAGACATCCCTGGTACCAGGAGTCTATTATTAGCATCATCCCTCTAGTAGCCTGTAGCCCCTTCAACTCTAAATGGAGTGGCTACTTAAATTTAGTGTTGCTGGAACTGTAATCAGTCAGGCTGATTTGTAGACTGGTATCACTTGGTCATTTCTAGGTATTTTGCAATTGATTGCACCTACCTGTGGTGATGTGTGAGCCTGCCACAGAGTGGGGCAGCCAATGGGGGAATATTAGGGGTGTCTGTGCCTCACCAGCCAATCACTAGGAGTTTCATGGCCAGTGGTGCATGCTGGGGAAGTGCATAAATACTCAGGAATTGCCATGTGCTTGAGTCAGTTCAACCCCGGGCCTAACCTGGAGGAGGGGTGTACAAGGTTGGAGAAGCTGCCTAGGCCACAAGCCTGGAGGAGGCCACATGTGGACCCAGGAGGGGTATAGAACTATCTGGGAAGGAAAACCAGAGGAGCCCTATGACTGCTGAAGGTGGACCTCAGGAACAAGTCCGGTGTCTCTCCCAGGGAAGATCTCATGCAAACCCCCTATTCAGTTGTTGCTCTTCTACACAGTGCATCCTCTGCGCAACTAAAGTATTCCTGCACTGTGAAAGCTTGAAGGGATTGGTGAGTCTATTGTCTATGGATGTCTGAAGCCCTATACCCTTTTCCCAGTTTGGCTGTTCTACAATAAAGCATTTAAAAAGGCACTTAAAATGACTGGTGCCCATTTTACTGTTCACATCCCACAACACGGCTAAGGATCCACCCCTGAACGTTAAATGTCAGCCCTCCCTGCCTTTGGGGTTCCACCACAGGCCTCTGGAGGTCAGGGGGGCGCTATAGGCCAAAAAGATGATCTTGCATAAGTGGATTTATACAGACACTTCATCCATCTCACAGGTCATGGGAAAAAACAACCATTGTCTTCTGTATTGCGTTAATGGCGTCCTCCCTAAACAAGAGACCCAGTGCCAGAAACCTTTCACCATTGAAACTAAACGATCAAAAGCCCAATGCTTTCACTACACTCAAAGGTATTTAACCAGGCTGACTGCAAAAGACCCCCCACCAGCAGCACAAAACTGCTAATCTATCCCAACTAAGTGAGGCCTCTACCTCCCCCCTGTGGAATTGGCTACACGCTCAACTGCCACCCATTAGGTAATGCTGGTAAGGTGCACGTATCTGTGTAAACTGGTGAGGTGCAGGTATCAGTGTGTGTAAGCCTTGACATTGTTAACTGTACTATCCGTTATCAAAGGATACCTAGGAAGTGGTACATACTTTGTCAGGAGAGTAGGCACTTTAAGACTGAAACCGCTTTCCTGGGAATTTGGTGACCCCCGCCCCACCATGTTGGGGGAAAAAGCTCTTTTTATAAGTGAGCTGTAACATTCTGGCAGATGTTACAGATAGTAAAAGAGAGTATTGTGGGATGTCTAGAAGCTAGACCACAACATGGTGGAGCAGTAGGCACTTTACAGTGCCAGCCTTTGGTGCCCCAGAGGGGTATGATGAATGAATTATGGGTTAGCAGGATGTTGGAGCTGCTGAAATAATGAATACAGGGTGTAAATACCTGGATGTCAATATGCTGCCGCTAGTGAGGTATGGGTTAATACAAACAGGAAGCTGCGGCTAGACACTTCTAAGTAGCAGCTCTCTGGTGTTTGTGGGAGAAAAAAAGCTGAACTCCAGGCACACAATGAAAAATCTGTTCCCATGAAGTTTATTTAGGCCATATACAGACTTTTCTACGTGCAGTGCTATGTGTGTTGATATGCAGTGCACTAAATGCATTAATTTTTTTATGGTACCCCAACTTGCATGCAGGGGCAAACAAAAGTATCTGCCCCACAAAACACTGCCATGCATGTAGTAAAGAACACATTCCTTACTGTGCAGTGTCCATATCAACGCACATATATAAAGTGTCCCTTAGGCCTCATTCACACACGAATCGGCCTGTACGTACAGCTCCGTGCTGCGTGTGGGGCCGTACCAAGTAGCTGCCGGGAAGGACAGGTGCTGCGTGAAGTCGCGCTCGTCGCGCAATATCGCTCGTCGCGCAATATCGCTCAAAGTCGCGCGATTTCCATGTCGCTCAGTGTGAATGGGGTCTTAATGTTAAAGGACAACTTCACTTTCAGTTAAATTGTCCAGCCCCACCCTGGATATTTTCCCTGTGCTGTGTTTTGTGGTACAGTCTTTACAGGAGAAAAGTCCCACCTGGGCACTACTTTGCATGCGTTCTGCGGCCTCATTCATTCCTCTGGATGGCTGGGGCCACCATTATTACGGCCCCAGCTCTAGGAATGAATGAGTCCACGGTGTGCATGCACGGTAGGTGCTGAAGTTAAGCCTATTGTTCTGTGACTTAGACTGAAGAGGGAGGGGGGACCTGTAAAGGACACAAGTGACGTTGTCCTTTAAATGTATTCATTATCTGTGTTTAGAGATAAAAGTAATTGCTGATATTCTGTTCCTGAGCTGTGCAGTGGCTGCTTTTTCTGCCCATGGCAGCTGGTTTGGTGACACAATGTAACACAAGACTGTTATGGATACAAATACACCTCCCTGACAGCTTTATACAGTGTATCAATATCTTCTTTCCCTGTAGACACCAATCACATTTCAGCTTTTTGTTTCTGTTCTCACGTGTGCGCTTTGCCATAAATGCATGATAAGAGGAATTCCATCATTTTCTATGGGCCCCACTCACACCTATGAGTTGCACAGACGTGCAACCTGGGAAAAAGGTTGCAGGTGCTTCTTTTGCTGCTACGTAGTGGGATTTTTTTCCCCCCCATGGCAACCCATGAAAAACGCATGTACTTGTGGTTTAGTGGATTTTTGGTGTGTCTTGTGTATAACAAGTCTCAACAAGGGGGAAGTGATAGCTGCTGCAAGAAGGACTCTGCCCTCTCCTCTCTCCAATAGCAACTGACCATGTGCAGAAGAGAGCAGATGGGGTGCCCACTGAGAACAGACCTCCTTTTTTATATGAATGCCTTTGGGGGGGGGGGTTCGGGCTGGCCTCCCTTCTTCCTCTCTCCCTCAGAGCCCCAAACTCCACTTCCTTCCACATAGTAAAATGCACCCTTTCCATGCCCCTTTCCATGCATTCCTTCAGGTGCCAACACGGACACAGGCACATTTTTTTTTTCCAGCGACACCACTGATGCAGGGAAATTTTTGCCTTCTGGTGACACCACTGCCCCAGGACATGTATGCCTTCTGATGACACCATCCACCCAGGAACATTTTTTTCCCCTGACACTGACACCACTGATGCAGGGACTTTTTTTTTTTCCTTCCAGGGACAACACGGATGCAGGGGCATTTTTTCCTTTCAGTGACGCCACTGACACAGGGACATTTTTTTTCTTCCTTCCAGTGACACCACAATACATGAGGAGCGCAGCAGAAACTGAACACGGTGCAATCCATTTCTGAAGGTTTAGGTAATTTATGGCTGATTAGTTTACATTCATTACTTCCTAAGCTGAAATTACACTTAAGCTCTTAATGAAAAATGTAAAAATGGTGGCGTAGTGGTTAGCGCTTCTGCCTTGCAGCACTGGGGGTCCCTGGTTCGTATCTCGGCCAGGTACTATCTGCAAGGAGTTTGCATGTTCTCCCTGTGCTTGTGCGGGTTTCCTCTCACACTCCAAAGACATGGTAGGTTAATTTGCTCCTGTCTAAATCGGCCCTCCTATGTATGCATGTGAGATAGGGACCTTAGATTGTAAGCTCCTTGAGGGCAGGGACTGATGTGAATGTGCAACTATGTAAAGTGCTGCGTAAATTGTCGGCGCTACATAAATACCTGTAATAAATAAATAAAGCACATCAGTGGAAAATTCATCTGACGCAGGCTGTCCTGACAGCTTTGAAGGATTCAATTTCAATAGTAAATCAGTCATATAAATACTGCATTATCGTTAGATAGCACGGTCAGCTCCTACATCTGAGTGAATGGTTCAGTAGATGACACTCTGCACCCATCCACACAGTGACAGGTCCGCTTCATGTCAACTGCTTGCTCCGTGTCCAGCAGATGGCGCTCTACACCGTCACCGGCGCAGTGTCATAAGGACACCTTCTCACACTCTGCTCCGCACAGGCTCCTCCCCCCGAGTCGTGCATAGCTCCTGTAGGCGGGGCTCCAGGAAGCGATATTTAAAACATGTTAATGTAGCATGTGAGGACGCGAGCAGTGCGGATCGGACGGAGGAGGAATGGGGCGCTTGTCACGTACAGAACAGCAGGCGAGAATTGGATAGGAAGCCCTCCCACCTCCTCCCATAGAGGCTCATCCAGGGAGAACAAGCTGCGGATTTGGGGCTCTCAGGACCTGCCAACTGCACTCTTCCTTCTCAGGCAGGTAAGTGACCCTGCCAGGAGCAGCCCGATCACCCGGACCTTTCACATCCTGGACGTGGATGGATAACTTTCCAGTGTTCTGTACGGAGTTTGTTCCAGACGTGACTGTGCAGCCGGGGGGACAGAACAAAGGATTTCCTTCTGATAGGGACTGGAATGTAGACAAATCTGTTCTGGCAGACGTGGGACTTCTCCGGAATCCTCATCTAGGTAGACCTGCCCCGGGACAGGAGGGTGCTGAGCCCTGATCTTACCGTACAGGAGGGTGCTGAGCCCTGATCGTGCCGTACAGGAGGGGGCTGAGCCCTGATCGTGCCGTACAGGAGGGTGCTGAGCCCTGATCGTAGTACGTACAGGAGGGTGCTGAGCTTTGATCGTACCGTACAGGAGGGTGCTGAGCCCTGATCGTGCCGTACAGGAGGGGGCTGAGCCCTGATCGTGCCGTACAGGAGGGTGCTGAGCCCTGATCGTAGTACGTACAGGAGGGTGCTGAGCTTTGATCGTACCGTACAGGAGGGTGCTGAGCCCTGATCGTGCCGTACAGGAGGGGGCTGAGCCCTGATCGTGCCGTACAGGAGGGTGCTGAGCCCTGATCGTAGTACGTACAGGAGGGTGCTGAGCTTTGATCGTACCGTACAGGAGGGTGCTGAGCCCTGATCGTGCCGTACAGGAGGGGGCTGAGCCCTGATCGTGCCGTACAGGAGGGTGCTGAGCCCTGATCGTAGTACGTACAGGAGGGTGCTGAGCTTTGATCGTACCGTACAGGAGGGTGCTGAGCCCTGATCGTGCCGTACAGGAGGGGGCTGAGCCCTGATCGTGCCGTACAGGAGGGTGCTGAGCCCTGATCGTACCGTACAGGAGGGTGCTGAGCTTTGATCGGAGGGTGCTGATCCCTGATGGTGCTGTACAGGAGGGTGCTGAGCCCTGGTGGTACCGTACAGGAGGGTGCTGAGCCCTGATCGTACCGTACAGGAGGGTGCTGAGCCCTGATCGTAGTACGTACAGGAGGGTGCTGAGCTTTGATCGTACCGTACAGGAGGGTGCTGAGCCCTGATCGTGCCGTACAGGAGGGTGCTGATCCCTGATAGTACCCTTAAGGTGGTGCTGAGCCCTAAACGTACAGGAGGGTGCTGAGCCCTGAGGGTAGTTAGTCTCTGCTTGGACTGTACAGTAGGGTAGTGAGTCCCACTCATTTAATACAAGGGGAAGGGATTGCTGAGCTCCACGGAAAGTTTGATAGTCACTGTGAAGGCTCCTGGCTTCCTACTTGGTACAACAGAGCACCATTTCTGTACCTGTCACACAAAGCTGGCTGATTTATGTCTGATGTGGAGCGGTGACCTGTTCTGGCAGTTGTTTGGGGGGGTCTTTGTGCAGCTGTAAACATCTTGCTTTGAGGTTGCATCCCTTACATAAATAGAATAGTTCTCATAGCACTGTACAGTGTATGGGACATTGCAGGGACTGCAGAACAGACCTCATACATAGATCTAGAATAATCATATGGCTATCTTTGTTCTCCTAGCACTGACCTGCTGTAATTTTATCACAATGTTATAGTGATACAACTTTATCAGCATGGTTCTCATAGCACTGTATGGTTTAAAGGGACATTGCAGTGACTATAAAGCTGACCTGCCATATTGATCTCTAATATTCATATAATGATAAAACTTTATGTGGCTATCTTTGTTCTCATTGCACTGTACAGTGTGAAGGAACATTCCAGGAACTACAAAGCTGAGCTATTGTAGAATAAATATTTGTAGAGTCTGATGATACAAATCTATGTGGGTAGAATACCTTTCCTAGCACTGTACACTGTAAGGGAACATTTGGGGAACTGCAAAGCTGACTTGCTGCAGGCTTCTCATAATCATATATAGTCCTACAACTTTACATAATTAGTTCTTCTCCTAGCACTGTTCAGTGTAATGTTTTGGGAACTACAAATTTGAGAAGCTGTAGATTTAATAATTATCACTATATAGTAATAATACTCATTACACTATAAATAATGTTAATTGTGATTAAGATTGGTAAATGGCAATTTTTAACTTTTTGCTTGCAATCAAGGCCATGTTTTGCTTGTTATGCACATTGTAGTTTCTAAAAGGTATACATAACCAATGGTTGTTAGCTGTAGCACAGGGCTAATCTATTCACAAGCCATATAGACCAATGGGGGAATTAACCTTCTGATCCAGCATATACATTTCTTGGTATGCAAGGCTATTGGCTGTACCTATTCATGGACATGGTGTGTGTATATGTAGGAGTCCTAAATGATTTGTAGATAGTAAACCCCATCTCAACCTTAAGTCTGCCATCAGTGTTCCTTATAGGCACCATTTTCTTGTGCAGGGGACTAGTAATCCAGCACTGCAGATGTGGCAGCCGGACCCCTTGTGCTGACTTCATCTCTTTAGTCCATATTCTGTATCCTGAGAGGACTCTCCATTAAACATCCAATAGGAAGTGTCTGATATGTGTCCTGTTGTGTGCAAAGGATTGCTACTTGTGTAGCTTAGACTATAGGAAGCCATTTGTTTAGTTTCTTAGGGATTCATTCCTTGCAATTTTAGTCCACAATTGAGCTGCTATAATCACCCATGTAGCTCTGGCCTTGGAGGGTGTAAAGCTTTGTCTGGATTGTAGTTTAGACATATACAGCCTAATATCACACTGATCTGAGGTCTGATACCATGATCAGGCAAGAATCGGTCCATTTAGGGCCACACTATGGCTTGAGCACATTCGCAATCTTTATGGCTAGTTGCATGAGAATCAGCGGTGAGTCGTGGTGCGTTCCCTGGTATTTGTCTCCCATCTGTCATTCCAAGGAAGACATCTGCTTTTCTGTGGTGAGCCCAATGCTTGCAGAAGGGTTAAACCGCTAACTTTTTATGGGTTAGTCTAGGTTGGCAATGGCATAAGGGCTCTTGCTGATGGGTGTTTCTCTGTGTTTGGCTCGCAGGCTAGCAACAACCCATTGACTTTAATTGAGCAGTACACATGACAGTTCAGAGGCTGCTTGACCTGGTTTGCGTCCACGCAGCCTTTTCTTGTCAAACTCTGCATTTGACAAGAACGCCTAAAAGAGGTTAAACTCTTCATTTTGGTTATTTGCTAACGTTGGGTACACACGGTACAAATTTCATGGGGTTCCTGATGGACCGGCCGAAATTTGCTGCATGAGTGCTGCTGTCACCACCCTTCCGCCCAGCATCCCTCAATCAGCTGATTGAAGGGGCCCTTTGGAAAATCCTCGGCCTAATGGAGCTGGCAGCCAATCAGCTGTCAGAATACAATGAAAGCAGCAGGGAATGTGTTCATCAATGCTCGTAAGCCTAGATAGAGGAATTTGTTCTATTATTTATTTATTTTTATTTTTTCTCGTTCAGCCCACGGGCTGAACCAAAGAATTAGACGTGTGTACCCGACTTAAGTGTTGGGAGCTGAGATATGATCTGTCCGAGAACATGGGCTGTAGTAAAACGTTTGTACAATAGGCACTGATTTACTACTTCATATATTACACGGGATAGGTAACTTCATGCTACAGATTGACTCTCTTAATGAGACTGCTTTTGTCACAAAATAATCCTTGTATTGTCATAATCCAGTCATGGCAGAACATATGTTTGGTAATGACACTCAAAGCAATCGAAGCACAACGTGCAGTCTGTGACATAATGGAAGTGTCTGTCATTTGCAGGGACTTCACAGATCCCATGGGCTTTTGTTGTAGTGTTTTAATGAATGTTGTGATCTGGGGGTTTGTATTTCTCTTTCGCTTCAAAGAATTCCCATAAGTTGCAGTGAAAATAACACAATTGCGTCAGGTTTTATAGCATATACCCCGACTAGTAATAGACAGGTCTTTTTAAGCTTTCTGCCAACATGGTGCTGCAATGCACAATTTCAGTCACTGAAAGTAACCGGCGCCTTGATGTAAGTAAGCACTGCACAGCATTGGTGTAACATAGCCTAGTTTTGTCTCTTGGTTGATTTGGCATTTAGAGAGGGCTGTGTTTTCATCATGGCAGTAATTATTCCTACACTGCTTTGTAACCAATATGGGCTGGTGTAATAACTTTTAATATTAGGCTAGAAGTGTCTTATTCCTTTATCTTACAGCCTTTGGAATAATTCAAGTTTGTCAGCCTTATTACCCCTGAACAACCCTTGAAATTACTTTCAGCTCTCAGCTATCCCTTGCTAAAAACCAATATACTGTACCTCTAGCTCACGGTACATTAGCATGCTCAATAGTTTTTCTTTCTATGGGGCTCGCCTATCTCCATCTCCCGGCAGGGAGATGTACCTCGTATACTGCGCAGGTGCGGCCAGCAGTGGGAGGTGTTCAGAGTTGGATGTAAACAAATTTGGGAGGCCCTGGCCCTGATCTTGTTACCAGGATGTTGAATCAATCTACTGGCTAGCTTTACTTTCCGTTTGGCCACCTTTCTGAAATGTATGGTCAACTTATCTTGATGGCTTTGATAAAAAGACTGAGTACATTTAGATAATAAGACAAACTTTTATATGGCATTGTGGTTCGGTCCAGGGATATGTTAGTAAAGTATATCCAAGGCCTATTGAAATGTAAACAAAGGAAATTGTAGAAATCCATAGTGACACTGCAATGTATAAGTTTACTGAAAGGATGTTTATATAAAAGTAAGATAAGATCATTTATATTGCTTTTTTAGTTAGCGGTGGAGTTTAGGTTATCCATACACATGAGGTGATTGCCATCTGATCTGCTCAGCCAGACTGGGGAAAAAATGGTATGTCTATGAACACAATGAAACCTCTGCTGACATTCCTGCTTGACCAATCGTAAGAGAAATCATGATCCTGCCAAATGGATTTCCCCAAACAATTGCTATTGTTTCCACAAGATAAGACAGACGCCAGGTGTCTGCTCAGTGGTCACCAATGCACGTTCAGTGAAAACCATTGTGCATTTTTATGGAAAAAGAAGCATCCTTTAGAAATCAAGTAACAACGTGGACAATACTTCAGTGTCAAGTTGATGATAATAATATTATACACTGTCCAGGTGCATTTATGAGCTTGTTTAACAACACGGTGTAAATAACAGTAGTATGTAATCACCCCACAGCAGGTCAGTGGACTGACCAGTGAATTCTGATCTCTTGTAGGGAGTCAGTTACTCATACCATTACTCATTGCTCTCTCCTATTACCTACAAAGCCCTGTAACTATGACATCTGCAGTTTTCTGTTTTTACACATCATTTTAAAAAGGATTGGAATACTAGACATGAAGACATAGGGTAACCGCTTATTTACTCTTCTCATCCGGCCCTATTGAACACTAAACCATTTGTTGCTTTACAGTTGGCCTGCTGATTCCCGTGACTAACCATAGCTACTTCTAAGGAGCTTGGAACGTATGTTTGAGGTTGGGTGTGTGCCACCTTAAGGCTGAACGATCTGCCTCACAGATGGGAAAGAGAAAAGGGACATGTGAATGTGTCAGACTGGGTGTGTAGTAGAGCGCAAGATAGTGAGTGAGACAGGGTGTGTACACATGTGACCCTAAGGCAGCCTTTTAGTCAGCCTGTGCCTGTCTGTTTTGCTAGACCTGTTTGTAATATACTGTGCGCTTTTTGTTTTTCTTCTGTATTTTTTTTGCTGTAGTTTAAATAAAAGGTGAGACGTGTGCAAAAATCTGATGTCATGTGCAAGTATTTTTGTGGCTTTGGATGCTGAGAGGCAAACCAACATAAGGCGCAGTATACATTCCTACGTGGAAGATGACGTTTGCAAAGTGAGGGCAACTGATGTGTCCTTTCAGCATTTGTTGATTCATGGGTGCATGGAGCAAAGCGAAATCTAAAGATTTCTGTCAGAACCGCTGCAGCCCTTCTGTTTTTATCCTATGTTGCCTCCACCTTGTAATTTTAACCTTAAATGGTGGAGCGCATGGCTAATATAACTGGCTGAGTTTTGGTGATTCTCATTAAAACACAGGGGGACCCTAGCTGAATGTGGGCCACACAAATCATTATATGCTAAACAATGTTTTGCTTTCACAACCAACAGTTTAATGAATATCTGTGTTCTGTTCTTTTTTTGTGTGTGTAGGTCAGACTGGAGACTGTAGTCGTTAACATGGAAGACTCTTTACAAGTAATGGAAACGGGACCTGTGAGTGCATTAAAGAGCTCAGAAGTGTCAAGCAGGGAGTTTTCTAGGCACTCCGATAAAATCCCTTTGGTGAAACCTTGTTTCAAAAAGAAACCAGCCCAAAAAATATTAGACGCAGAAGCCCTACATGCTTTGCAACCAATCTTCACTAGTTTTTTAGGATCTGGGACTCTTAATGGGTTATTTGTGTCCAATGATCAAGCTGGGACTGCTAGTAACCTATGTGTACCCCTTGTGAAAAAAGCACTAGGCCCTCAAAGTACTGCACTGATATCTGGGAGCTCAAGTCTTAGGCCAGTAACAGAGCACCCTGCTTCTGTACATGCATCACAAGACCTGGAGGAAGACCAGGCCCCTGCAATAGAGAGCACAGAACCTTCATTTCCTCCAGAAAGCAATAGTGGAACTGTTCCTAACACTGCCAATGACTCCTTCCAGGATCCTCTTTTACAAACAAATTCTGGTGATCCCACCACCCCAATCTGCTTGGACAAGATGTTGGAAAGTTACACATCTGGGTTATTCCAGGACACCAGCTTTTTGGACCAATACAACGTGAGCCAAAATAATCATTCAAACGCTGGGATATTTGAGGACAAAACAGAGGAGGCGTCTCTACTTCTTGTGTTTGAACTTTTGAATCAGCTTCAATACCATGTCCATCAGAAAGATAGTATTGACATTTGTGTGGAATTCTTACAAGGGTTATGTTTTTATGGTAAAGATTGCCAAAGACATCATACGGTGTTGCCATATCATTGGCAGGTTAGGAAACGTACCACTGGCCTTTGGCAAAGCATTAATGACGATTCCCAGGAGCATCTGGAAAGACTGTACTGTAGCCCGGATAGCGACAGAATCAAACTGCGGTATCAGTAAGTATTTCAAAACAGAAACTATTTATTCAGATTAATAGTACTGTACTATTTTTAATGTATGTATGCATTTAAGTTTGTTGCCATGCCTAATATGACTCGTTTCCTATTTATCTGTGACATTCTGTCAACCCAGCTCCATATAAGGTATAAGCATGATGAAATGATGAATGCCACGTGCAGGTCACTCGGGACTTCTGTAACCTCTCCTCCTCCTTTTTTTTGTTTTTTTTTGGTTCCTCCAACGTGTCCTGCTGTAAATAACTTTGATGTAGCATGTGAGCAGTGTTCAACTAAACCCTTCCATACTGGTAGCTCAAGCAGTACTGTTTCACCTGGTTAATCTTCACACTTCCAGATACTTCTTGGCATAGCATTGGTCCAAAAACTTTAATACTTTGGCGCTGCTTTATTAGCACATTTTATTATTCTGCAGACTGTTGATGCTGTTGAAAGAATTCTTATTGGTTGGTTCTAATTGCTGCATACAGTTTTATTTTTTTTGTTTTGTTTTTTTATCATGAACGTTTAAACTAAAAACTAGTGCGTGTATAATACATTAAAGCTGCCCATACACTGTAATATTCTCCCCGTTCAACCGGCAAGCTGAACAAAGAAAATATAACAGATTCCTCCATTAACGCTTATGAGCATTGATCGAGGAATCTCCTGCTGTCTTCATAGTATTCTGACGGCGGCCACTGTCAGAATACCCGAATAGAGCCAGCAGTTCATTGGCCGCTGGCTCTGTTCATTTGAAGATTTTCAAACCAGCTCCTTCGATCAACTGATCGAGGGATGCCGCCCAAAAGGGTGCCAACGGCGGCACCCACTGTGGGAATTTTGTCCGGTATTTGAAAAACTGTCCGCAATTTCCACAGTGTATGGCCATCCTAACAGTAATATCACAAAGTTTTTGTATGCAGAAGGGCATCGGGCACTTTATTTTGCGATGTGAACACTCTTCTGGCAGGTGGGATCACCAGTTGATGTGATGCCGTTGCTGGTTGTGTATACATCGTATGTGTGTGTGTCTTTTTATTATTGCAAAAGAATATGTTAAATTAGTTGATTGCAGTGATAGTAATCTAGACATTCACGTTGTTTCATTGCCCATGTAGATATATATCATGGTGAGATTAGCTGTCTTTTATGGTCGATGTTTTGTAGAACTGTGTCTGCTTATTTGTTTGGACCAAAATTAACCCGTTGTGTAGTGTTTGCCACATCACAATCTGCTAAGCATGGTCAGAGTGTCAGTACACCGAAGGTTTGTGGGTTTCTGTTGTTGTAATCAAGCGGCAGTTAACTCCTAGATGTCATTGTGGGCCATTTAGTCAGAGAGATCAATAACATTTCTTCATGGTCACGGCAACCTATGCTTCCCAGTATTTGAAGGCAGTGTTGTGTTTCCTGGCAACAGGGCAAAAATAATTGAGTGTTGAGCCATTCTAAGAAGCTCCCAAACAAGTCAGAGCTGCACATGCATGGTTACCACGGTATATGGACAAAGCTGTTAATCTCTTGTGGTCAGATGTGCTCAGCAGGCCTATCAGTGCATCATGGGCAAAACCAGGAAGTGCCTGCTTAGCATTTTACATAACCGAGAGAGGCCAAGTAGGGTAGCTGTTTGTTCCTGTTTTTAAACATTGTTTCCTTGGCATTGCAAGCAATGAATGCCCTGTCACCCATAACACATCCCATTGTTCTTTCTTGTTATTATAGAAACAGCCTTCTGTTTCTTCACTCTGCTGTTTATGGTGATTCAGAACTAGGTGATTATTGATTTTACTCAGGTAGCCAAAGAACATGAACTGAGATAACTTCAACAATGTTCTAAGTTACAGGAATTTATGGCTTTCATTCTATCAGCAGAAGATTATCACTGAATAAATACATGGCTGTATTACAGTTGGTAGAGAGCAGCAGTCTCAACCAACATCTGTTCAGGCAGCGCCTTTTGCACCATACGTGTCATAGACATTGGGCCTTTTGTTTCAAAAGATCGTAACAGTTTCAGTCATTTTCTTTTCCGTAATGTATACATATATCTTCACTTGCTCTCGCACGTAACTACATAAGGCATAGAGTCGCTAGGCCCTTTCATGTTGTTGTATACACATTTCCAAGATGCTGGGTTGTCATGAAGGTTTTTATGGTCAAGAAATGCACTCTAATGTCTGGGCATACTTCATGTACATGAGCATTTCTTTATTCATAGTGAGATACCCAATAGTGATTAAAACTTCTTCAACTGGACTAAATCGGGGTGGACAAACGAACGTGGAACTTAGAAGGCAGTCCGTTCAGAGTTGGAACCTCTGTCAAGTTTTTATTTTCTGTGTCCATAGTCAGAAGATTGTACCCTACTTCCTGTTCTGGTGTCTGCTAGAGAAATGTCCATAACAGAAACCCAAATAGCAATACAAGATTATAATAACAATATTATTTTCAGGATTGATATTATACAGGTTTTATATAGCACCAATAGTTTGCACAGCGCTTTACAGCATATAGGAAGAAAGTACAGTTATAATACAAGACAATAGGGTTAGGAGGGCAGGATAGGCTTCATAGAAAAATAAAGCCTTTTCAGGAATCGCCTTAGGGCCCATTCATACCATGTCTGGAGCAGATCCAGACAAGAACTTTTTTTTATTTTTTTTATTGGCCTGGTCAAAAAAAACCATACCCATTCATTCTTATAGTAAAAAGTGCGGCTAGTTCACACCACTGCATTCAGTTCTAGAACATTTGAAAAAAGTACTGCATGGGGTATTTTTTCTGATCTAGAGTGCACCAAAACACATGTAAACACTGGAAATTCAATTGAGGCTAAAAAAGCACATCAAAAAACTGTGTCAAATGTATCCAGATCTGGTCTGGAGATGGTGTGAACAAGCCTTCAAGGTAACAGACAAAGTAGGACATAGCTGGGAAGATTGGAGTAGGGAGTTCCAAAGGATTGGGGAGACTCTAGAGATGTCCTGGTGGCAAGGGAGATGGCGAGCAGGAGAGAGGAAGGGTTTAAGCCTCTGAAGTGGTTTTAATATAGTCTGGGGGGACTTTATCAAGACTGAAGCAGACAAAATCTGGAGCAGTTGACCATGGTAACCAATCAGCACCTCTCTTCAGTTTGCTCAGGTAAGATTTGAAAATGAGAGAGAGAAGCTGATTGGCTGCAGTGCAAATCTGCTCCACCTTTTGTCTGCTCCAGTTGTGATAAATTCCTCCCACTGTATCTGAGATTTACCTTCTCTTTCTGCCCTTGAGACTGGGGACACCTGGGACAGGAAAGAAGTAGAAAATTATCAACAAGATGGCAATAAAACTTGGTGGAGGTTCTAACTCTTCCTCCTTCTATTCAAAGCTAAAATATTGGCTGGACTAGTTTGTTACAGCCAGTTAGTAAAATGCAGCTCTATGTCCTCCTCCATCCCGACCTGTTCAGAATGAATTATGTTAACAAGCTGAGCTGGGAGCCGTTTATTGCCTTCAGTCAAAGTCTTAACAGTGATTATTCCCAGTGGACGGTATGCCCATGTGAACACTGTGACCTTAGAACACGATGATCTGAGATTAGAGCTTGCTTTTTTTTCTTATTGACTTTTTCCTCTTGCTGCTCGCTATGTATGAACCTTAAATAAAATCATAAACATGTTTTCCTACATCCAAGGTGAGTAAAACCCGCTTTCATACAATGCAGTTGCTACCACTTGTTGATTTCGGCCCTATACAGACCTGGGACATTGTTCACCCATTCGATGAGCATGGAAAGGTTATGGAAATCTGTAGAAGTGATTGCAGGAATGGGACGGAAAACTGCAAATTTTGATCTGACAGACCGGTCACCTGAGAAAAGGAAAATAAACGTATTCAGAACACGCATGGCAATGCAATACTAGAACAATAAACATGTCTAATGTCTAATACTGTGTGTGTGTGTGTGTGTGTGTATTCAGCATGAAGGTTAAAAGGAAGGAATAGATTTGTGTGCAGACAAATCCTTCAGTCTGTCCCAGCATTCAAATTTCCCGAGTGTTTCCTTCCCTGTATCTGCGGCTCATGTCGTATTCATGATTTGTGTCATTTACACTTTGTGGAGCAGATGGCTCAGCAACAGATGTCAATGTGTTATGTTGTTGCCCCTGGTGAAGCCGCAGTTTCTCCGTACACTGCAATTATCCCGGCACTCTGCAATTTCAGCTAGAACACACATTTTCCTAGATGATGATGTGTGTGTGTGTCTGTGTATGTGTGTTGGCTGTGTTTACTTCTCAGTCTATTTTGGTAGTTCCTGTTGTGCAGTAATGTGCAGGGTATGTACCGCAGTAGGGAACTTGTAGGGTAAAGCTGGATTTAGGTCAGGCATAGGTGACTTTTTGTCTAATTACTATTGTACAGTAGCGGAATGCCACCCAGACATTTTCATTCTAAGCATAGTTGTGTACATGCTGTTGTTTATGAGCAACAGAATCGGACCTGAATGATGCCTTTTACCACAGATGAAAGGTAGAAATAAGGCCTTGTGTTACATAATTGTTATTACAGAAATGGTATTAACCCTTACAGTGGCTTAAAATTTTATGGGGGATGGGGAATCAAAAGATTTGGAGGGGGGGGGAAGGGGTTAACGAGAAAAACTTCATCTGCCAACTTGCAGAGGTGTGAACTTCTTAAGATGGTGGTTACATGTCAATGTTTGGCTCCGTATTGAAGTGTTGCCAATATCTGAGAAGCAATAATAGAAAATTGAGCTGTGAGCACTATGTAGGGAGTTTTCCGTATAAATAATTTGAAACTCAGCAGGACTTGGCAACATAAATGACAAAGCCGCCGTGTCCTTTGAACGTCGGAGGGGTTTAAAATGCATTCTTTGAGCAGTCTGGGTACTATCAGCTGCATGTTTTCTTATTTCCATATGAAATAAAGCTAATTGGTTTCTTCCCGAGCGATCCAAGAAGCAGCGTAGTCCTGGGGATTCTGCAATCACAAATGCA